CGTATCAATTAGCTATCTACTAATCGTCAAACATGTAATTTAATTGCATTGTAACTTGTAAGTAACAGTTTGAATTTTGAAATGATATTTTTGAATAAAAAAGACGTAACTAAAAAAAAAATCAAAATATGAACCTTTTGGAAGAGATTATTGTAATACTCTTTGTTGTTACATATAAAACAACTAATTCCATAGCAAACTATTTATATAATCAACTAATCTAATCAGTTAATCAAAATTGTTAGGATTCAATTATTTATTCGTTGTCAACTAATTCAATCAACTACGCGTTATCGATTAATTCAATCGGCTAACTGCTAATTGCCAAACATGACGTGTAATTGGGATCGACTTAGGCCAAGAAATTTGTGAAACTGTGAACATCAAAAGAAGAAAAGAGAAAGAAAACATAAACAAGAGTGGTGTGATTAAAGTCTAATGAACAAAGAAAAAGAGGCTCCACTCAGAAACGTGCGTACAATAACACAACTCTTCCATTTCAATCAAAGGAATAATGTACTTGTTAATACATTTCATTTTCTTTATCCTCCAATTCTTAGTATCAAGTTGTTTTAAAGGGGTTAAAAAAAAGTCGTTTTAAAGGGACGTTATTGGAATTTTGTTCTCCAGTGCTTAAGATAAAGTTGTGTTTAAAGGGAGGTTTTGGGCAGATTGCACGCTGATTCTTGATTTCCATATATTTATTTTATAATTGTTCTTTATTTTATTCTAATTTTTTGTCACCTATGATCTGTTGGCATATTGTTTCGTCAATATCATCCATTTGATATATAGTTAGCGTATGAATGTAAAATTAATAAATTGAACCTCACAAGTTTGACCCATTAAACTAGCTAATTGTATGCTTATTTGATTATTGTTTCGACAAAATGATATTTTTGAAAAGCTAAATATAAAAGCATATTGGAAATAGAATATTTGTATATAACATGTCAACATGAAACTTTATATCCGTATGATCAATGATAAAACGACATTATTCATTCGTATGACTCGTTAGATAACTTCTATTACATATTATATTATTTATTCAATTTATTTCTTCTTTTCAACCAATTAGAAATTTACACATGTCAAAATAAACCATCTTTAATATTAATCATTGGAGACACAATTTCTTAATCTCCTTCCTTCATGCCATGCAACTCAAAATGGACAAGATACCATTGGAGATGCTCTTAGGTTGCTCCTTGACGCGATCATACTTCGGTATTTTTCGGCTCGCCGTGCGTGGCTACATCATTTTGTATATACAATATAGATTTAAAATTAAATATCAATAAAAGATTAATTTAATATATCATGTCTGAAAAACTGTAACAAATAAAAGTATTACTATTAAGTTTTAAAATATATATACAGTTCAAGTTTTTATAACAATGATTTTACAATTAGCATTAATGGTAGTTCAAAGTTTTCATAAAGATACTTGTAAAAATTTATTTATTATATATATTAAATATGAATATCAAATCAAAAATTGTTGTAAGATAACTAATTAGATGTATGATATTTAAAAAAGAGCAATAAATTAAATAAAGCATTATTATATTTAAATTACATGCATTATTCTGAAACACTATGAAGTAAATAATTAACTCATATAATTGTGAAAAACAATAAAATTACACATACTATTAAAAAAATTAAAAAGATGACCCAAGATCTTAACTATATACAAGTTAGGGATCAGACCTCAATCTCCTATATTTCTGGGTATTTCTTCGTAAAAAATACTAAATATAATAGATTTTTGTGCCCTTTTTAGAATAAATAGAGAAAACGTTCAATTTTAGAAGATAATTTCGTACTAAATTTAGAGCATGTTTGTTTATAAGATTTTCTCAAAAAATTTCTAATATTTTAACTCAATCACTTTTTTTAACTTATCTTTAACTCAACTCCACTATCACCAATATTATCAATATAATTAAATACTATCAATCAATCAATCATACACACCACATCAACCTTAATTTACTATTCATCCACTCACATTATTTTAACTAACCATCACTTCAAATCATCTCTCTCATACTTTTACATCAAATCAATTTTAATTATTTTATTTTAAATATTATTTTAATATATCCACTAACATCTAACCATACCACCTTTTTCAAAATTAAACAATCCAAACCAAAAAAATCTAAGGGGGTGATTGGATATGAATTCACCTAGTAAAAAACTGGTTATTTTTTAACTATAGTTAAATTTGAAAAAAGGTGGTATGGTTAGTTGTTAGTGGATATATTAAAATAATATTTAAAGTAAAATAATTAAAGTTGATTTGATGTAAAAGTAGGAGAAAATGATTGGAAGTGATAGTTAGTTAAAATTATGTGAGTAGATGAATAGTGAATTAAAGTTGATGTGATGTGTAAGACTGATTTGGTGATATTATTTAATTATATTGATAATATTGGAGATAGTGGAGTTGAATTAAAGTTGAGTTAAATTTGAGTTTTGATTGAGTTTTTTACTGTAGAAATGATAGACAATCGCCCCCTAAACAAAACCAAAAATTTTCTAAACAAACATGCTCTTAGAAATATCTCTCATATGAAAAGTCCAAAAACGAATATAAATAGGAGCCGACCCACAAAACTCAGTTTAGTCTGGGAACCCTAATTGCCGAGCGCCTCTGTGGGGTTTAAGAGCGCATTCAAAAGACGATCGATCTTCTGGTAAATTTCTCGGCCGAAGTATGGGCTATTCAATTTCAACCCCATCTTTGTGTTAATTTTTCCTTGTTCATGATATGTGTAATCTTGCTCATTTGTAAGCATGACTTACCTTGGGACTGATTTTTCATTCACTCGTTCTGTTTTTCTTAGTGCAGACCCAAAATAGCTAAAATGTATCTCCAATTTTATATCAATGAAAATGGTGATAAAGTTTACACCACAAAGGTACTTTTGAATTTGGTTCACTCGCTCTGTATATAGCTCGTCGTAGATTACTATTATTGTTATTCTCAATGTCTGACTTATCCCCTTTTAATGTACTGCAAAAAGTTTATAACATGTGTGTTTGAGAGAGAGAGCGTTGTTGTTTGTTGATTTGTTGATAATTAACCCTGATGCTCCATGGTTTAGGCTGCCATACTCTACCAACCAATATACATACTTTCATACTAAAATGTCGTACTTTAAAATACAATATAAACATAAAAATGTTACATTTTTTGTTTTTGTAAAAAGTATGTTGCCTAATCTAACGACATCTTTGGGATTAGATGCATATGTATCATCAAATTATAGATCATTATGTATTTTATAGATGTGCTGGAAAAATTAACTTCATCTACTTGTCGTGTTTGTGGCTATCCCTCCCCTTATTGTCTTTGTGTGTGTAGAAAATTGAAGCCATATATGGGGAAAATTTGTTTTCATTTCATTTCATGCAAAATCAGTTCGACATGAAGCGGGTCGAAGAGCATTTAAACCCACCCCAAATTCAAACTGAAACTACATAACTAAAGAAATGAACGAAATGACATCGTTTCTATCAATAAAACGTAAAGCCAAAAAACACAAAACGAAATGCCATTTTTAACAAAAAGAAACAAAAAGAGAAAGAAACAAGCTGCTCCATGCAAGCATTCATACCTTCATACATCTTCAACACCTCCTCCTAAAGTCCTCAAGTTGGAGCAAGACTGAAAACCATGCCCAACTTGGAAATAAGAAGCTTGAAGTGTGTAGCAGACAGAATTTTAGTTCTCCATGCATGTGAAGCAGCTCGTTTCTTTCTTTTTTTTGTCTCGCTTCTTTTAAAACTCGCATTTTCTTTTGTGTCTTGTGTCTTTTGGCTTTACATTTTAGTAAAACGGTGTCGTTCTGTTCATTTCCTTAATTGTTTAATTGTTAGTTTGGACTCTAAGCGATGTCGTTTTAGTTTGAATTTGGGCAGGGTTTGCTCTTTACCCGCTTCATGTCGAACTGATTTTGCATGAAATGAAAACAGATTTTCCCCACATATTTGTTGACTTTCATTTTCTACAGTGTGTATGCGAGTGTCCGTCTTCCTTTAGTTTTGTGTATGCCGAAAGATGATATTTAGAGTTGTACTTTTATATATTCTGGTCAATCATGTTCTATTTGAGTTGAATCTATAGGTTATAATCATTGATTTATGGCACTTGTGTAGGAAGAGATGGNAACATTTTTTTTATTAATCAGTTGTTGCTCATATGTGTGGGTATGCACGTCTGGGTTGGTACTCCCAAAATATTATTTGCAAAGTATTTCTGTATGAATTATGTGGTTTGGAGTGTTGGGCAGTGTTATATAGGATAAAATGTGATCCTTCGAGATTGTCCAGACTTTATATATATATATATATGGTATCCTGCAGAAGGACATTGTAGAAATAAAATTACTGTTCGGGAAGAATTACTGTTCTCTCATCTTGTAATGAAAAATCAAAACAAAATTACGGTATCCTGCACCTTAAGATCATTGTAGAAACACACGAACATTTGCTGGTAAAATGGTATCTCCATTCATTTCATATCGAACATTCTTCTGTTCGGGAAAGGAAAATGTAATAATTCAATCTGTTGATTGCATGCATTATTAGCTTTTTGTATTTATTATGGTCCTTAACGTACTATCCATTTCTACATCGCAGCTCGCTTCTCCCCTGATGACAAATTCTCGAGGCAGAGAATTCTACTCAAGAAACGCTTTGGTTTGCTGCCAACACAACAACCGGCGCCCAAGTATTGAGTCTCCCCACTAAGGCTTTTGCATACTAAAATGCTGGGGGACCTCACATTTTTATAATCTCTTGTGTTCTAGATTTTTGTCACACTTAAACTCAGATTTTTGTGTTATTATTGCTTGATTGTTACTTCTCAAGTTGTTTTTGAGTTATGTTGTCTGAATGGTTGAGTTGCTGAAAATACATTTAATAAGCATGTGGTACACTTAACATTGTGATACTATCAAATTCAACGGTCAAGATCTTGCTAGCTCATGATTTGGCAATTTGATAAAGTAGATTAACTGGTTTTCACGCCAATGAAAAGATTCATCTAATGGGCCTCTATAGGTTGGGACTTAAACTAAGAAGAAAAAGTCTACTATGAAAGACTATCCAACCATGATTACAGCTAAATGACTCCTCTTAATTTTAATTAAACTATTAAAAAATCATTTTTTTTACTAGCTGAATAAGATCCTGCTAAGGCGCTACATCATAGTCTACCATTAGAGGCCATCCAACCATGATTACCGCTAAAAGACCCCTCATAATTTTAAATAGACTATTAAAAAATCAATTATTTTACTAGCTGAGTTAACTTTTCCTCCTGCCCTTTTTTGTTCCTTTTCAATTGCGAACCCATTCCAACTGTTACACCTAACCAGCTTGAGTTGCCATTGGGCCAACTTCTGTTCTCATAACAACGCGAACCTGAATAAAGCCCACTTTTAAGTTCGGTCGGCCCATTCATAAAAGCCTGTTTATAGAGCGGGGGCATAATTGGAATTGTGCAATACGTCACGCTTCGTAGACTTTGGTCTCTCTTTTATAACAGCTCAACATCAGAACTGTGAGCTCAGTCACTGGAAACGTAGACTCACAAATTCTTCTCTACAGTAAGTAAGCGTTCTCTCTAGATTTTTTATTTTTCCCCTTACATTTTGGTAATAGGGTTTATATTCATTGATCATCCTTGAATTAGCCTATAAATTTTCCAGGATGGCGCCGAATTTTGGATTTCTGGTTGTGGCATTTTTGGTTTTGGCGTGGAGATGTGAATCGGCCGCCTTCGGTCCGGTGTCTGAACTCCATCGATCTGCAGCGTTGGAGATTTTTAATGCTGCCGATGGGTCTTTTGGAAGGTGCTTATTTAATTATTTTAAACCTTGTTCGAAACCCGTCCTCCCGCGGGTTTGTTAGGTTTCAATGTTGTATCTTTTTTAACTGGAAAAATTTAGCTGCGTTGTTGTCGTGTTTGTAAAGGGGGAATTTTGAGCTAGTTCTGTACTTTGGTAGTGATGATTAGGGAGATCTGTTGTTTTGGATGATTGCTAAACCATGAAATGTGGTTAGTTTGTTACCGCTGCAGTGCTAAAGAAAAACCCAAAAATCTTGTTTTGTGAACTTTTGGCTTAGTGCGTTTTAAGCTAGTTCGTTTGAATTTTTGTCTGCCTTCCTTTCATCGAGCAATTATTGTTCCTCTGTGTAGCGGGTGGTTTTTCTCTTGACTTTTGTATAATTTTCTGTAAGTATGGGAATTTATCATCAAAGTTGAATGAGGGTCGTGTTGCATTTTGCTGATTATCCTACATACTTCTATGGTTGTTCAAGCTTTTTGTAAGAATAGTATAAAAGAAGAAGTGGATATATAAATTGCGAAGCATTTCTTTCACTATTTGTTTTAGTGCCGAATGGCATCATTTGTGCAATAATTTTGTCTTTGGTGGTGCCTTATGGTACTTAATAAAGTTGATTTATAACATGAAGCATAAATTTGAAATTTGTGTATAAAGAGTTGGCTTTCTCACATGGTTGCTACTGTTTCCAGTCTGGAGGATACGTACGAGGCATTAAAGACATTTGAGGTTCTTGGGATTGAAAAGAAGTTTGATGTTAAAACTTCTGCATGTGCATCTGTAGCGAGCACCCTATTGTCTGCTTCGTCAGCTGTGAAGGATTTATTCCATGCTCTTAGCGTCAATGGCCTACTGAAGTGTGAGCTCAAGAATGAGGCTTTTAGGGTATTAAAATTTATGCTTTTCTTATCAATGTATTTTGTTTGACATCTCCTCCTCTTCAACGAGAAAAATGTTTTTTACCCTAGTATCTTTCTTTCACTGCAGGGAGTTGAATCTAGACTTCAAGATTCTCTGAGTGTTGCGAATTCACTTCTTCATTATTACTATTCTGTAGGAGGTCTAGTCCTGTTGAAGGTACCATGCTTTCATTCAATATGATCTCTTAAATTTCCTCTCATCCTATAGTTCGTTAGGATTTTGTTTAAAAAGAAAAAGTTCTCACAGAATTAAGATAAGTAGTTTGTGAGGGATTTTTTAATGTGTGAACATAAGTGTATTTAATGAGATTTCTATCCATTTGTAGCTATTTGGTGAAGCATCTGTTGCGAGTTTCATTTTAATTTGATTTGATTTGTAGTTTGACTAATTTTTCCATGTTGACTTTTGTTTTAATTTTTGTTTGGATTAAGCATTTATTTTTGGTGCGATGAGTTTGAGCTTCTTACTTGTTCATCTGAAAATCAGGATCAGACTTCTGAAGTTGATGTTCACCTTAATGATGCTGATAAGATATTTCGCTCTATTAAGGTAAACTCAGGATTCGTTGCATATATTGACAGATTAATTTGCTGTTTGCCAAACTTAACTCTTTGTAATATTTCAAAATGCGTAATATGTTGCCGATGCTTTCCAGTCTCTAAGTCAGAGTGATGGGAGGTGGCGCATTAGTTCCAACAACCCAGAATCTAGTAATGATGCTGCGGGTAATATCACACGCCTATATCTTAAGTTACCCATGCTAAGTAGTAACAACAAAAGACGCCGTTACATTTTAGCTGATTGCTTACTTTGTTCCTTTATGTTTCGACACAACAAGATTTTTTATTCGTTTTGACTTGTTTTTAATTGCTGCTTACCTTGTAATTTGTTTTTGCAGGGATAGCACTTGAAACCCTTGCTGGGGTAATTTCTTTAGCATCTTCTGAGATTGATCATTCTCTGGTGAGTGATATCTTTTCTTATTACCAATGTATTGTGATGGAATTTGATGAAATCAGTATTTCTTTTTCCCTACCTTCATATTAATGTTGAAGACAAATGAATGATGCAATTATCCTGAGGGTATCAACCTGAAAGTTCCATAATTTACCTAGCCTCTCGTGATGGAGATACTGATTTGTTCCATCATTTTTACTTATATTGTGACTGTTGACCATTCTACTGATGTGTATACCTAATTTTAAAGTATTATCGACTGCTCTTATAACCAAATGCATTCGCTTGGATATTATGAGATTACTTACAATGAATATGTAATATATCTATATATGTGTGTGTGTGTGTGTGTGTTGTTCGTTTGTGTGTGTGAGACATGATACGAATCATTATGATTGTATTAATTTTTATGATTCTATTCCATAGTAACTCGTGTGTGGGTGGCTAATTTCATTTACTTTTTAGTTTTCCGAAAGGCAGAAGTTATAGCATTCTGATTCTATTCTGCTTACCATATCCCAGATTGCTACTCTGAAAAGTGACATTGGGAAGCTTTTTGATGGCATTGAAAGATACGGTATGTTGCTCCTTGTTTTTCCTCTACGGTTCAGCTTTCTTGCAATTACTCTATCAATTACTGTATTTGATATTAGTGGCATAGGGGTCTCTATTTAATGATTTCTTGGAAATGATCACTGCAAGGAAAAAAGAGTCAACGATCCTTTTTGATTTTGTAATATATTGTTAATCTGTTTGTTTCTGTGTGGTGACTGTGTTTTGGTCGTAAAAGAAAAAACCACTTATCTTTACTATTGCTGAACTAGTTTTGGCATGGCAATCTTTTGTTTTCAAGCGCTGCTACAGTAGTATGCAGTATGGACATGAGCAGATGAGTACACTTATTTTAATCAATCACCCTCCATTTGTTAAAGAAACTTTAAATTCTTTTATTTTATCTGGGTAAAACATGTTCTCATTTCTATTTCAGACATCAATGTACGACTTTCAAATTTGAAATGTGTACATATTAAGGATTTGTGCTTCTTGCTTGTTTCATGAGATAAGAGGCTAACACGGTGTATCATTTGTAAATGAAGTTATGTGGAGTGCTGAAAGTGTCCCTCAAATTCTAACATGTAAAGTCCATTCTCAACTTTGGATAGGTGCTTCGCATGTCCATTCTCAACTTGATCACACTTTTCTATTCTCACATTTTGGTTGGTGCTAACTATCATTTGTATTTGTATCATAGCTTTAAATGGCGAATGGCGAGGCGATTAGCCCATGGCCTCGCCACGAGGCGAGGTGGTTCGCCATGGCGAGGCCTCGGCTACACAAGTCCCCAAAATGTAGAAAAACAATATTATAGATGGTGCAATTATATATTTATGTTCATACGACAAAAATAACATCAAATGGATTTTTATATTAAATTATAAACAGAAAATAGCTATATAGTAATTATTATAATATTTGAAAAAAAATTCAGATATTTAACAAGCATTAATTGGTCAATTGATAAACTAAAGATTAGACACCTATTACTATGTTTTAAGAAATTAAACAAACAAGTTAAACATAAAATGATAAATAATAAATTAAACAATAAGTAAAAAAAAAGGACTGCACAGCACTGGTGGCTGGAGTGCGACTAGCTGGTGGCGGCGGAGGTGAATGGTGGGGCTCAGTGGAGGTCGGATTTTGAGTTTTCTGCCCTGTGAAACTCTCTGTTCGACGCGAGCCTTTCTTTTCTTTTTGATTTAACGTCTTCCTTTCCACAGATAAAAGCACAACATATTTTTTTTTTTTTTAAAACAGAAAGGTGCTGAGCCGTGCCTCACAGGCGCCTCTCGCGCGAAAAGGTGAGCCGGGGTGGATTAAGGCGTGCGCCTCGGAAATGGGGCCGCCTCAGGCAGTTGCGAGGTGGCTTAACCCTTGCCTCGGTCGCCTCTCGCCATGGCGTCGCCATTTTAATCATGATTAATATATATCATGTATAACAAGCAATTTCCTTGTCGAATCAAATCGAGATAACCATATGTTATGACTCTGTTTTCTAATCTTCAGTACTAATCTTTTATTCTACCTGCTGTGTCCGACAATATAACTGGCAAAAGACTGGCCTGATTATGTCTTATCTTATCTGAATTGTTAAGGAATGATTATACTCTGCTATTGTGTTTGAATTGTTCTACATATTAACTCCTTTTTATTTTCTTTCTTCTCTTGTGTGTTTAGATGATGGAACTTGTTACTTTGATGAGAAACTTGTTGATGCACGTGGCCATCAGGGTCCTCTTTCAGCTTCCGCATCAGTAATTCGTGGAATCACAGCTTTTGCTGAAGTCACCAATGAAAGTTTAAATGTATGCTGTTCAATTTGTTTTGTGTGTGTTTTTCATTAATTACTTATCTTCCTTAGGAGCTTCTTAATCTAATGGTTTCATAATTGCAGCTTCCGGGGGAGAAAATTTTGGGTTTGGCCAAATTTTTTCTTGGTGTTGGAATTCCTGGAAGTGCTAAAGACTTGTATTACCAAATTCATGCCTTGGCATGCTTGGAAAACATTAGGCAAGTCATAGTTACTTCTTCTTATGGAACTCCCTCTGTATTTCACCTTCCCCATTCTCAATTTTCTGCCTCTCCTTATAATTCTGTTAAAAAGTTACTTTCTGAATTCATGTTCTGATATGATATGTTTTAGTTGTGGTGGATCCTGTTAAAATTTGTACGCTTTACTGTTCTAAATAACTCATAACACTCCTTTTGCCTTCAGGGGATCAGTTCCTCTGATTCTGTCACTGCCAGCTACTGTCCTTTCAGTGACCAAGAAAGATCAACTTAAGGTCTGCCATCCTGATAATCTTTTACCCTAATTAATTTGATTAATCATTATATTGCTTAATATTTTTCAACTTATTTCCCTTAAGATTCTTGTCTAGGTTTAATTAATTTTGACTGGTGTAGAATAAAATTACGATTAAGCTTGTGTAGAATATGTTTCGAATTCATTGCTGCCTGCTCATAACTATTGGAGATAAAACTATTTAAACAGACATACATAAGTTTATATAATCCATTGATCATAATGTTTGATTGGACTTTGGAGTCTTCTACTCAGAATGCTGTGCTTGTGCAGTCCAAGTTATCTAGCTCATTAGCACTTTGTTTTTCAGGTTAGAATCAGTACTGTGTTGGGTTCACCTGCCCCGCCTCTGTCAGTGAAGCTCATGCAGATATTTGTATCTGGTTCTAAAGATGCTTCTATTATTGACCAGGTATCTGTTGTGCTCCATTTATTCTATATATGACAGCGCAAGAAGCTAGATTTCTATATTGTATGTGGTTATATTCATAATATTTCAATGCATGTGAAATGATGATGCTTCATAATGCAGAAGCTGAAATTTGACCCTGAGAATGCAGTGCATGTCTTGGAAACATTGCCTACAAATGTTGATGTTGGAAAATATATCTTTTCTTTTGAGGTATCTAACTTTCCCTTTTTTCACACCCCTTTCTATCCTCTCTCTGATTAATCTTCCCTTTCCTGTCATGTAATGATTTTCACTACTTCACAATTGGTAGATTGTGTTTGAGGATCCAGAACATAAGAAAAATTATGCTACTGGTGGGAGGACTAAAGTACTTATTCATGTGACTGGAGCCATTAAAATCGAGAATGCAGAGATTGAAATACTTGACAGTGACCTTGAGAGTGTGGAGACTAAGAAGAAGTACATTCTTAACTTATCTATTTATATCAATGGATACCTTTTTTTTTTTTTTCATTTTCCTAATTAGTTTTCGCCCTGGATTCTATTCTCATGTCGATTCTCACTTTCTGGTTAATTAATTTCTTAATGTTATATTCTCAAATTTCCCTTTTCTATTGAAGAATTTCTTGAGTTATCAACACTGGATCCATGACTCATTGCTTTGTTCCATATTATGTTCGAAATTCTGTGCGCTAGGGGTATTTTTGTGTTTTCCTCGCTTAGTCTAATTTCGGCTGCTGATGAACTGTTCCTTGCTTGGCTCCCAATTAAATCTCATTCTTTACAGGACCTGCTAATTAATCATATATGATCCAAAAACTTCATTTTGTAGGAATTTACTTTTAGCATGGAAGCTTTAACAATGCCTTCTTTTTTATCCAGGCTGGATTTATCAGGAGAAAACTCTCTTGCTTTGTCTGCTAATCATCTCCAGAAGTTGAAGTTATCCTTTAGCTTGACTAGCCCATTTGGAAATGTTTTCAGGCCTCACCAGGTTGGTCCAATAGATTTTTTACACATGTAATTATATTCTTCATCAGTCATACTCATATGTGAGCATTTATGTATTATTATGTTTTCCAATTCAGGCATTCGTCAAGCTTAGACATGAAAGTGGAGTTGAACACATCTTCCTGGTGGAGAACTCGAGGAAAAAATCTGAGATAATTCTAGTTAAGTGCTCATTTACTTTCTCAGCTTTTTGAATTAGTTTATGCTCCCATCTAAGCACATTTATTTTTTTTAACTTCATGTTCTGATTATTTTAGTTCATCATCATTACAATGTTGTATTTCCTCGCCAAAACATTGTCTTCAAAATTTTCATTTGTATTTATTAACTTTATATTTATTGTAGGATTTCTTGGGTCTGGTGGAGAAGTTCTTCTATTTATCTGGAAGATATGACATTCAACTCACAGTTGGAGACTCAGTCATGGTAAATAATGCTTTGGTTTGAGAGTACCACCTTTACTGAACTTCTTTCTTGTTCGCACATATCACATGTTTTAACTTGAGTTCTATTCTTGTGTACATTCAGGAAAACTCTTTCTTGCAAGCTCTGGGTCACGTTCAATTGGATCTTCCAGAGGCACCCGAAAAAGCCCCCAAACCGCCCGCAAAACGGGTCGACCCATACTCCAGATATGGACCAAAGGCAGAGATAGCTCACATTTTCAGAGCTCCAGAAAAACGACCCCCTACAGAGCTTTCTCTTGCTTTCTTGGGCTTCGTTCTCTTGCCATTTTTTGGTTTCTTGGCTGGGGTAACCTTCTAATTATATGTTATCCTTCTTCATTGATAAGTAGAACTTCGTATTTTGTAACGGCCACTATTTATGAAATGAGGCTGAGTCTAAGGGTGTGCTTGGATATAAATATATCCGCTCAAAACGAGTGTTTTTGGTTGACCATGGTTAATTTTGAAAAAAGTTGGTACGATTAGTTGTTAGTGAATTTTGAGCTTTTATTTAAATAATATTTAAAATAAAATAATTAAAGTTGATTTGATGATGTGAAGTGATAGTGAATTAAAATTGATGTGATGTGTAAGAATAATTGTTTAGTGTTATTTAATTATGTTTATAATATTGAGGACAATGGAGTTGTGTTAAAGTTGAGTTAGATTGAAAAAATTTTAAAACAAACACGCCCTAAAAGCGGTATGCTTTGTTTTTTCCCCTGCAGCTTGTATACCTTCGTGCTAACCTGAAGAATTTGCCCAAATCTACTGTTCCTGCAACTTTTGCTCTTCTCTTCCACTTGGGTATTGCTGCAGTTCTAACACTCTACGCACTCTTCTGGATCAAGGTATTATTATGTTAGTTTTTCTTTGTGTACTCCAATGTCCTAAAACTTGTCACTTCATTCCTCAATTATTTCCATTTTTCGTTTAAAGTCGATCAAAATGAAAGTAACTGAAATTTCGATGCACTTGTGGTATACGTCTTTAGCAATCTGAATTTACGCGACTGTACATTCTCTTAACATTTTTGTTTAATATCAAATACCAATGTTCTCGTTATGTGTAAATTGTTCGACATAAAAGTACTTATCGAAGTACGTACTTTCTACTCTGCAGTTGGATCTGTTCATTACATTGAAGGCACTTGGTATACTTGGAATTTTCTTGATGTTTTTCGGGCACAAGACACTTTCCCATCTTGCATCCATTTCTGCCAAGCTGAAATCTGCATAATTCACGTAAAAACTCCTTCCGTGATTTACAAGGCATAGAAAAGTGAATTTGGTGTTTCGGGAGTCGGATTCAATCTTTATTCGGGAGTTGGTTATTAAATTATGTAATTGCATCAGAAACTCCATGGCAGAGAATTTTGATTTTACACAAACCAATACCATTTGGCGAGTCTTGGGCATAGGCCGTATAGCGATTGGGCATAGCAAAAAATTACTGTAAGAAAGGAAAATGTAACTGTACGGGATTTGTTAGCCAACCATCATCATCGTTTATCTTAATTGGCCTTAGTGAATTTTAGTTTTATCTTTGATATAGCAGGTGACAGAACTATATGAATGAAAAAAAAAGGGATGGATAATGGAAGACTTCAAATTTAGTGGGTTTTGTAGTATTTGTTCTCTGTTTTTGATTTGACTTGATATGTTATGTTTGAGGTTTCTACTGTTGGGTTTGGTAAGCATAAAAGCGCTTATAACTTACATGTATCCAAATAATCTTGGTTTGGTAGGACGGATTATAACTTACATGTATCCAAATAATCTTGGTTTGGTAGGACGGATTTTTTTAAAAGTTCGATATTATCTCATAAGTTTTCTTAGGTAGTTTTTCAAATAAATTCACTGTTTTTTTTTCCAATTAGTTTATGAATTAATTTTACCTAACACTTTTAATTAAGTAAAATAACATTTCAGCTATAAGTCATAAATTATCAACTATTTAAACTCAAAATTCACTAAAAGTTATAAGGTTTNCATTTAACAAATTCAAGAGCTTTAAACGATGTCCGAACAGGTCACACTTTGGAAAGGGAATTGCAAGTAGGAAAAGGGATAATCTACTACATATATTGAAATTTGATATTGTGCTAATTAATGCAAAAAATCCACTAGTTTAGTAGAGGATTGCTCCTTGACACTTAAATAGGCACAAAAATTAAGGTGTAATGGTTAGATACTCATACTTTTAATAACACATGTATATTTATACTATTTAATATTATACATTTATTTATTTATGAGAAGTGGTATAAGTACATAATATTGTATATAGGGGTGTACATAACACTCACATTGAGTGAGACCTACCAAAAATAAAAAATTAAGTGGACCCCACTCCATGTGAGTGTTATGTACACTTCTATGTACATTTATTATGTACTTGTAGCACTTTCTTTTATTTTTTTCTAAAATCTCTCATTTGGGTGAAAGTATATAAATTTATTGAAAAAATATGATTAAGTTGGATATATCAATTAGATGTCCATTTAATTGTGAGGGAGCATGAGGTTGGTACTTAGTTTTGTGAATCTATAAATAATCAATCAAGTTATTTTCTCATTTAATTTTCGAAGGATAGAAAAGTAGGCTGTTTAATGAAAAAATTCTAATAAGAATTAAGAAATTGAACAATGTTATGAAATAATAAAATAATGTATGTGAATGACTATTTTGTCCTAAATATTTGTATTATTACAAATTGTGCCATCAGGAGTTTCCTATAAATAGGAGCTTCAGTTATAATGAAAAACACACCTAAGAGAATACATTTTTTCTATTCTCTCTCTTTCTCTCTAGTTTTATAACACGTTATCAGCACGAGTCTCTGCCCTCTAGGGCTCGATTTATAATATGATGAGAGTATGCTCTACAGTTGCATCTTAGAGATGATCTTCTGTATCAGAAATCTAAGTGTTACAAAATCGTTAATTTCACCAAGCAATTTTTCCTATCACTCATAGGGAACTTCTGAATTTTCATGCTCTGCATTTAGCCATTTCAATTACTTCTTCAGCACATAATATGCTTCAATTGACACCCACCATAATCAGGAACCATAAAACAAAAGTACTATTTTTTCCCAAAAATGAAAATCAAAAGGCGAGGAAGGAAATGAAAAGGAAGAAAAAAAAAAAAAAATGAAAAGTGAGTGTAGAAATAAAAAGAGCAAAGAAGAAAAACTCCCACCTTTTGAGTAGCCAAAATTCTCAGTGAAAATCAAAAGACAAAGATTCAATATTTATTGTTCATAGCTCTACTATAACCTCTTCTTTCGAGCGGCATGAAGATGAGAAGCTTGGAATGAAGTCAGGAGAAAGCAAATATTGCTTCAGGTATAAAGGTATTGGTTCGGCATATAATCAATCCACAAACGTGTTGACTCTGTAAGTTTTCTTACCTTTAGAATTATACATTCTCAATTCTATCTTCATTCTCTACATATGTAGAGAAAATACATGCATTAACACATGGCACATGTTTTATTTTTGTTTGCATGCAACATTTAGAAAAAGACATGATGACAAATAATAAATGTCATTTAATGTGCTACAGTGATAGGATAAATTATTGATAGACAAAACCTGTGGTGTGGACAACATTATTTCAACTACTATTCACTTGCAAGTTGCAAGTCCACGAAACCCACCACACCAAATGCATGCTAATAATTTTTAGATGAAGACAACATTATCTAATGCATGATGTATTATATGAAAATATCATTGTTTATTACACATTTAAAGCACACTTTAGTGGTATTAATTTTTGATAATATCATAATGTTTGGGGTAATGAGAGCATCATTTAGAGACCAATATTGATGTGATTTAATAAAATAAGATATATTATTATCATAAAATATTTAAGTTTTTGTTGCTGTGGAAATATTGTGGCATATTGGTGAATATTTACGGATTGGTTATTACGATACGGGAACATGTGGATATACGTGGAATGACCCTTGTGATATGAAAATAAATATGTGTAGCTACAAGACCGGCTAGTGCAGCTTTGCCGCCGACAGGTAATATTTAATGGTAGCCGACGGGTCAACTATTGAAATATGAAAAATCATGTGAAATGGCCGAGTAGTGTATCCACCGAAATAGACAATACAAAAGAAGATTTGAACAATTAAGTGACTCAGCCAGTATATGGAATAATTATGACCAGTGATGGCCAAATGATAAATGTATTTATTAATGATAGCCGGTGATATGGAATGGCCAAGTGGCAAGGCCACGTGCAACAAATGAATGGCTATACATAGGCCGGCCAGTGCGGCTCTGCCGCCGGCGACGGGCAGTACAAATTAAGTGATAGCCGATGAGTGAAATTAATGATACTTTATATTTGGCCATGTGAAAGTTAATTAAAGTCCTTGTCGTGAACAGACAATATATGGACTTACCTGGTCCTGAAGGAACAATTGATAAATTCTCTAAGTTTATTGATGGAGAAACGAATATTGATGAAGTAGTAGCAGAAGTTACTACTTAATGATTAAATGATATCTGGTATACTGGTACTTGAAGCTACCATCTTATGATTAAACAAAATGATACTAGTAGCTATCACTGGATGATTGAACAAATTGAAAAAAAGTGGAAAAAAAAAAAAGTGGTATCAAAAGCTACCAGTTATGGGTGATCACACAAAAATGATTTCTCAATATATTATATAAGTCTAAGAGGATATATCAGATGACAAGAACATATTGGGATACGAGATCATACAGATATTACAATAAAGTGCTCCGGAAGAAGCACAAATGATAATGATTGTAGTCATGAACTACTATACACTGAGAAAAATCGAAATTGATATTATTATTACTGAGAAACAAGTACGAAATGTTCAGATGGTGGAAATATGGAAAAGAGGCAGTAAATACTCGATGGATACAAAATACGCAAAGATTACCTAATAGAACCCATAAAAGAAGGGTGCGTCTCGAGAGTGTAAAACTCCGTACCTCTGCCACCCATGAATGATATCTGGGTTCATATTTGAATAATATCTGGGTTCATAATGAGAGATCTAAAAGATCAAAAGCTCTTTTTCGCTTGACCCCTTGTGTTTCCACAGAATCTTGAAATGTGATGCATTCTTGAAGTTTTTTGATAAGTTCAGCAGACGTGTCAGCAGATTTGAATACTTCTCTCATTGAAGGAGATATAAAGGTTTGATATACTCCTATGTCTAAAAATCCAAGCAAACCATGAAAGAAGTTATTAAAGTTCAATAGACCTATGGGCTTGTTATGAAGTTTCAATTCTGCCCATAAAGCAATGGTGAACATTGTCATTAGCGTTCCATACCCGCCTGGAAGAATGATAAAAGCATCGCTATTGTTCACCATATCCATCATACAATCATGAATGGAATGAGTTAACATCATGCTTGTGGAATCCTTGACGACCTTTGTTGAAGCTCTACGAAAAGGTATGATACTTTTCACTTCTATCTCAAAACATTGTCCAGCCATTAAGAGACTATCATAGAAAGTATTGCTAGTCCCTCCATACAGCAAATTGATTTTTTGATTCCCCATCTCTTTGACTAACTGACTTACAATATCAATAGTTTGAGAAAAACTTACCAGTTTAGAACCACCAAGAACACATATGGTTTTGATCGGTTGAAGAAAATTATTACCTTGCGAAGACTCTGAAACATCCATCTATTTATTGATAAACTGAATTTTTCAAAACTTTGTGAGGCATATGATTATGATGAACGACTCGCTATTTAAATAGAAAGTTTTACAAAGCAATAAATAATTTTACTGTTTTCTTCTGACAATTGCAACTGACAGATAAGGTGTTGGGTTTTAAATAAATCTTATCTGTCGGCAACTATAAGTTTTTCTAGAAAATTACAGTACAACATACTAAACTGTATTAGTATGATTTTTCGTACTAACAAGACCAGTTTTACAAACTTGATCTTTTGAAATAATATTTTCGAGACTATAACGTTCTTCTTCATTTTTGAACTGAATCCATAAAGACATAAGCTCACGATGCACGTATCCACTAGGATGTGTCTCAAGAATCTGTTGAATCGTTTGATCCAAAGACTCCTTACTCAATCCATCCTTTATAAACGTTATTTTATCTTCTCGATTTTTGGACACGTACCCCACAGATTTACATCGTGTGTCACAAGTCCATCGAGCGCATTTGAAGCATCCACTTAATCTTTTTGCTCTTCGTTTCTTTGCAAAAGTACTTTTATCCATACCTGGCATATATTTATATGAATAAGGAAACTCTCCAGACAATCGAACTTGTGCTTCGATCAACCATCGAACATCATTTGGAATACCATTATTCATTAGCATCCTCAATCTTTCTAATCGAGATCGATAAATCTTTTTTATGATATTTTTCGGAAGAAAAGAATAATATTTACGGATATTTGAGAATGCTAAATCCATTTGTAAATTCGGACATTTGTTAAAGAAAATTGATTGAATTACCTGATAATTTATAGAAAAACATGATGCGTATGCGATACGACTCTGGGCTTAAACAGTGTTCAAAAGTATGTGTGTCAGATGGCATGACACGATTCTGGATTTAAACAGTGGCTAAAAGACATTTTGCCAGAGCACACACTTAAAGTGCATTTATTGCCGCCGAAAGATGATGTGAAATGTTTGTGATAAACGTGTCACAACGAATTATTGTGATCATTTTAAAAATGTTTGCCGATATTATTGATGATGGTTTGCATGA